CGTGCGCCGAGCCGAGACGTCCTGGGCCGGGCGGCGGGGGGCTGGCGCCTTACAAAGCCTCGAGCCTCGGTGGTGCCCTGCTTAGCAAGACAGAGGGCGAGTCCAGCCAGGAAACGGAGTGAAAACTCCTGTGATACTTTTTTCTTTTTTATTTGTTCACAGGCTTTTTTTTTTTTTTTTCCTTCTGGGGGAGGGGGAAGTGGTTTCTGACTGCAAATAGCTAGAGGTGGCAGTCTTGCTTCCTAGTAGTGGTTACCTTGAGGGATGGCCAAAATACCACTCCATGCTGGATCACTCCTTTCTAAAGCAGTTATTTCATAATGCTTCACCAGCTCATAGCTGTGTTTGTATTTTAATAATTCAGAAGAGGTCTATGTGTGTAATTCAGTTGCTTGGCCCAAAGTGTTGTAGTGTCAGTTTGGAATATCAAGCAGTCTGGGGCATTTTTTTCATCCTTATGCCTGCTTTCACTTTCTTTTCATTAATTCATTCAGAGAACCCCAACTACATATGTGTGTAGCTGCCTCAACATATGGTAAGGGGAATCCCACTGGGATTGTAACACAGTGGATTATTTTTAGTAACTAACTTGAAGTGCGTCTTTTGCCTTCTAGATTAAAGAGCAGAAAATTGTAGTTGATGAGCTTTCTAATTTGAAGAAGAACCGGGTAGGTATTTATAAATTTACTTTTGGTTATTTGCTTTTAGTGTCAGAGAAATAAGCATAGAGGCAAGAGGGGAAACAGAAAATTAGACCAGCAAATAAATTGTTCAAGTCTAGTTATTTCAGTAGACTAAAAATTGCCTGGTATAGATGTGGTCTGCTGTTCTCAAAATAACTTGCTCTCCAGATGATTTTATTATGTATGTGCCTGCAAAGTAACACAGTACAGTGCTTTTTTTCCCCTCTTAACCTGTTTTCTTTTTCCTTACCGTTTCCCCTTGTTTTGAATTTGTTTCCATATCTTCATTAAATATACAGTTACGGAGAAGGTAACAATAGTCTGTTCTATGTTTATAATAGAATATTGCAGCATATAATCTGTTGTTTTTTAATATGTTGTGTAAAGAATCAGCTCTTTCTGACATCTCATATCACGTGTTTTTAGCATGATGACTTTTAACATTAAGGAGCTGGTAGGTACTTGTAATTTAGAGCAGAATGAAGGACCATTTTTTGCTGCAAGGTTCACGATGTTTGCCTTTGTTTTATGTGAGAGGTTTGGGTTTTTCTTTGTTAAGATGTTTAAATTGGCCACAAGAATTCATAAAATTATCACATTTAATGTGTATACATTTTTAAATAGAATGTGCCCCTTCATATATGATAAGGGAAGCGCAGAGTAGAAATGCAACCATGAAGTGCTTTTGATGGTACGTTACAATGCTGCTGTAGGCAGTGCAGAGCCCCCTGTTCTGGCACAAAAGTGAAGGGTATCTCAACGGACCAAAGTCTGTTTCTGCTGTGGTATGGTCGTCCTAGTTTATTGTTTTGACTTAGTGCAGTTTTATTTTTGTTTTACAGAAAGTTTATAGGCAGCAACCCAATAGCAACATATTCTTCCTTGTAGACCGAACAGAAACACTATCTCAATGCAAAAGTAAGTTCTGAGTGTGGAAGTTAATCAAATAGTTAACTATTTTAAAATTGTCGTTGTTCAGGACTTCAGAAGCATATTAAAATGAAAACTGATGACTGTACATTAAACACAAAGTAGACTTCAGACACATGCTTATTTTTCTGGATTGGATAAACATGAAAGCGATTCCACTTAATACATACATGTCATAAAGCAGCAAGTGCTGAAGATACAGGAAGAGGAAGAATGTATGCCCTGTAGGGTTCGCAATCCTTGGTGCCCTTTAGGAAGCTGTATAGCACTTGATTCCTTGTAAAGAAAAGTAGACTGTCTAAAAATTGTGTGGGACGAGTAAGAAAATAATAAGCATCTAACCTGGAAACTAAGCTAGAAGTCTTTAGATCATTGAAAGAATGGATGTACAGGGTTGTGAAAACAGGAGAATGGAGGATAAAAGAAGAGAGTTGATGATTGAACAAAGATCAGAAAATAAAGTTGATACGTATAAATTTAGAAGTATAAACTTTTTTGCTTTCTGGAATGAGCAATTGTTAATTTTTTTCTTTTGATTAGAGCTATTTTTGCAGTTTGTAGTGTTGACATTTTAACTGATAGTTCATTTTTTTTAATTATTACAAATGTGTAAACTGTGCTGATTATTTAGGCAATAGCTAGCAATTCCCCGAGTCCTTGTATTTGTAGAGTGGTTTTCTGGGGGTGTGTGAAACTATAGTCTGTGTGTAATTCAAGAGGAATTGGCTACAGCAAACTATTTTTTGTGCTATATCGATATTATAGCAGTTCTGTTTCTTATCGTTTCTTGTCTTGATTGAACAAGTGACTGGAGTTGCTCATTTCTTAGATATCCTCTCAAACTTACCTAGTTTATGAAATTGATTATTCATTTATTTTTCTCTATTTTGTTACACAGATACGTTAGATGAATTGAAGAAGGCACATCAGGAGACAGAAAATTCAGAAAAGACCAAAATCAAGAAGTAGTCCATTTGAATTCAAATTAGCAATGTGTGGTATTTGTTGCGTTGTTACCTTGTCCAACCAGCATACTATTCATGATTTCTTTAACAAAGATGTGCTCTCCTGTCTTAGAAGAAGAGGACCAGACAGCAGTCAACAGTTAATAAAAACTGTATCTGATCTCTCTTATGAGTGTCTGTTTTCTGGTCACGTACTTCATTTGAGAGGATTGATGACTCCTCAGCCTCTGGAGGATGCCAATAACAATATTTTTCTTTGGAATGGAGAAATTTTCGATGGAGTTCATGTTGGATCTCTAGAGAATGACACTGAAATTATGTTTCATCGTCTTACCTTATGCAGTAGTGAAGTTGACATTTTGTCACTCTTTTCATCACTTCGGGGTCCATGGTCTTTTATTTATTATCAAGGATCTAGAGACTGTTTATGGTTTGGTAGGGATTATTTTGGTCGTCGTAGCTTGCTTTGGCAGTTCAGTAATGAGGCTGACAAGGCTGTCTGTCTCACATCCGTAAGCGTTTATTCTGAATGTGGTAAGGAATGGCAAGAAGTTCCAGCATCTGGAATTTTCAAAATTGATCTCAAAGCTTGTGCAACAACTAAATCTTTGTCTTTAACGTTATTTCCATGGAAATACAGCTGCACAGAGAAGACAGAAGAAATGTTCATTAATGTTCTGGATCAAATTTCAAAAGGTTTGCCAAACCACATACCTCTTGTGACAAATGAATCAAAACTGTGCCTGACAGCACCAGTTATTCCCTTGAATAAAACAATTGCTGACGCTTTGGGTGAACATCAATGCACTAATGTTAGCAACAATAACCACACAGTTTCTGTAGAAACCCTTCAAGCATTCCTTGCAGATGAACACAAGAAGAAATTAGTCCATCGACTTATTGATGTTTTAAGTGAAGCTGTGAAGAAACGGGTTTTAGCTCTGTTTAGAGTTAAAGATGGGAAAACAAGAGAAATTCCAAGCACGCCTACCAGTAAAGCACATGTCGCGGTGCTCTTCTCTGGAGGCATTGATTCTATGGTTATTGCAGCCCTTGCTGATCAACATGTTCCTTTGGAAGAACCAATTGATCTTCTCAATGTAGCTTTCAAGATTAAAGGGCAAAGTAAGCAAAAGCGTGCCTCTAAAAAACATATTGACCAGGAAATACAGCTTGATTTGCTTTCTTGTCAAGAAAACTATGAAGGTGTTGATGTTAAAACTGATGATCATTTGATTTGCTTTGATGTTCCTGACAGAATCACTGGCAGAGCAGGACTGAAAGAATTAAAAGCTATTAACCCTTTAAGAACCTGGAACTTTGTGGAAGTTAATGTTAGGCTAGAGGAATTGAAAAAATTGAGACAACAGCGCATTAGTCACTTGATCTATCCATTGGATACAGTCCTGGATGACAGCATTGGCTGTGCAGTTTGGTTTGCTTCCAGAGGGGAGGGTTTCCTTAGTAACCAAGGAGAACTCGAACCATATAAAAGTTCTGCAAAGGTATAAATCTTTTGTTCTCTCCCTTATGCTTGACTTGTGAATGCAAAGAGTTCTGTTTTGTTTCAGGAATCAGTAAGTGTATTTAACATTCGTAAGGCTCCTGAAATTCAGTGGGAGAACGCAGAATAGTTTTGTACTGATAATCTTTGTGTAACTTTGAGGTTAAAAATTGCATTCAGTTCATTTGTCATGTAACTTACATGGCTTTTCAATAAGTTTGAACAGGCAACAATATGACTAGAAAAAAAACCTGACGCCTGTCACTTTCGGTGTTATAACTCTACTAGTAATAACAGTAGTTTGGACTGCTATTCAGTCCAAACAGAGTAGGTTAGTAAATTTAGTGACATAAATTCTCATGAGTTATTAAGCAATATTGTTTTGTGCCAGCATCTCAAAGCTTGCAAATTACCAGCTTATTGTTTAAGCACATTATTTATGTGACAAAACTAGCCATCGCTAATGACAGACTGCTTCTTGGAAACTTCTATATTTACAATCATTGTGAAAGGTTGTTCAAACTACAAGGAGGAGCTCTTTCCTTTTTGTAACTTGTTTTTATATATTTAAAGTAAATAAGTCTTTTTAATAACTAGATGTTTTTCTCAGGAATTTGGTTCTTTCTTCTTACTTCCCCCATCCCTTCACAATCTCCTGATGGTTCATGCAGGGAAACATAAATTTAAGTTCAGGTGTTTGCAGTCCATTGCTGCCCTTGTTTTTTGAGGTTCTTTTATTTTTCTGCTGGTTACTGGAATTAAAGAAAAAAAAAAAACTTGGAGTAAAGCAGTAGCTTGCTTAAATAACATCACTGCAGAACACGGTTGAGGTAGGTGACTGATTTATTCAAAGCTGTATATCTCAGATTTGGAGGAAAAAATGAAAATAGCTTGTCCAGAATATGTTGAAATGAGTCATGAGTTAGTAAGTCCTGAAGAGCCAGTGTCATTCTCCTCTCAATTACATGCTACTGTGCACAGGTAACTTTGTTTCATATATAAGTTGACCCCTAGCAGGTGTCAGAATAGTAATATGCACTTGACTGGTTATGTTAAGAATTCTAATTCTATAGTGAATTGCTGTTGACGGCATGATGATGGTCCAGGCGCATTAGTGTGTTTTCTCTTCGTGACACTTTATGCATCTGGCATGATTAGAAAGAACAATATGACACACTTTTGTTTAAGGTGATTATTTACCCAGTAGCTGCTAAATTAATAATAATCTCTGTGTATGTTCAGATAACTATTTAAAACATGACATGCAACATAATCTGTGATGATTAACGGTGCTTAATAGATTCTGATTATTGTAATAGCAAATACTATGGCGACGATGTTCTTCAAAGATACTGGTATATTTGTGACAGGTGTAACACTATCTCAACTTTCTTCCTTGCATGGGTAGAAATGATTGTACTTTTAGGCGTGATCATGAAACTACTTAAATCAAACTTTCCAGCAACTGGGAACTATTTCAGGCTCTGTAAATGTGTAAGGCACATCCCATCATGCTAGTTAATATATAGAAAACATGGACATTAAAGTTATTCTCCTTACTAAGTTGTAGTTAACTACTTTAAATCTCCTAACTATTACTAGACTGCATGGATATTAAGAGCACTTCTATTCTGTTTCCTCAGGTTGTACTTACAGGAATTGGGGCAGATGAGCAGCTTGCTGGATATTCTCGACATCGTGTTTGCTTCAAAAAATATGGTTTAGAAGGTCTAAATAAAGAAATTGGAATGGAGGTAGATCGCATTTCTTCTAGAAATCTTGGTAGAGATGACAGGATTATTGGCGATCATGGAAAAGAAGCCAGGTAGTTTTGTTTTAATGTGAAGCAAAACTTTTAAATTCTGATTTTAACACTGAGAGAGAAAGTTCAATTGCAACTTGTATGCACTTTTTTGTCTTTAGATTCCAATTTAGCTGTGTTGCTATGTACTGCTGAAAAAGCAGAAGTCCTCTATAGTACTGTAGAAGAGTTCTGAAAGAAAATAGAGCAGCTTGAACGTTGCATTTCTATCTGGAAACTTCAAGAAGTAGCAACCATTGGATGTTGCATTAAGCAAAATCAAGGGTTTTTTTATCCTTTTAAGTTCAACAGTCCTTTGCACAACTTTTCAAAGTTCTTTGTGTGGTGACTTTGACTGGAAAAAACCAACTACCTAATCTAGCCTTTACAGAGGCTATGATACAACAGTATAGGAGGCACACATGCTTACTGAAGCAACAGCATGATCATTATCCACTGGCTTTCCCGGCCATTAAGTCAGAATAGTTAACCAATTTATCCTTGTTTACTTCCTCTCCACTAGCACCTACTTGCAAAAAAAATCCTTATAGCTGTTGTCCAGTGGCAGAGGCCACTCAGATGCGTGAAGGTCCTTTCATAAGATCTTTGTGCCACAAAATGTTTTTCCAAATCTATTCTTTGTTAAACGGAAATTGTATGACTAAAATAGTTACAGTGGTGGACAGGCAGTGCTGCTAATCATTTTTGTGATTAGGTACAAATGTCTGGAGTTCTCTTACTCTAGAAAGTTGTCAGAATTTTTTGTCCAAAATTTTTGTTTCAAAGTTATGATGTAGCTTCATGTAGTGTTCTTAACATATAAAAGTTATTCTGAGAAATGTCATTTTAAAAATTATCTTGCTCTTGCTTGGTGTTTTCCAGTTTTCTGTCTTTTTTTTGTATAGAACAAGCATCATAAATGCTGGTTTTCATTCTTTTCTTGAGTGCAGTTTTGAAAACTTGAAGGCTTCTGAGTTTAAAGGGGATATGGTATGTTCATCCTCCAAGACAGTGTATCTGTCTTGGAGACTTGCTGCAGTACTGCAGCACTAACGTTTACATCTTTAATTAGGAATGGACATGGGCTTTGAAGTCCTTGCCTGGGATGGAGGAGAAAGACCAAGATAGTTTGTATCAAGTTTTTAAAAGGTCTTTTCCCCTGTATGTATCTCTTCTTTAGGTTTCCTTTTCTTGATGAAGATGTTGTTTCATTCCTCAATTCTCTGCCTATCTCAGAAAAAGCAGATTTGACTTTACCTCGAGGAATTGGTGAGAAATTGATTCTGCGCCTTGCAGCTGTGGAGTTGGGCCTAACAGCCTCGGCCGTTCTGCCAAAGAGGGCTGTACAATTTGGATGTCGCATTGCGAAACTGGAGAGCAACAGTGAAAAAGCCTCTGATACATGCAGCAGACTAAAGTTACTTTCAGTAGATGAAGTATAAAGCTACATCTTGAGAAAGTGCTATTATCCTATATGCAAATTCAGTAAACCTTGGGGTTGTTTTAGAATATTTGGTCTGTTTTTTTCTTCTTCACACACTAGTATATTATTATGATCCTGCAGCCAGGAGGGCTGGAGGTTTGGGGAGTGGGAGGAAGTGCAGCAAGTGGGGAAGCCGGTGGTGGGTGGTGTTGCCAGGGTGCTGCCAGGGCATCTCTGTTGCTGTGGAGCAGGCTGGGTGAGTGGGCGCTGAAGGTCAGAGCCGCTGTCGTGGGGGCCTGCAAGCCTGCTGCCTCTTGAGGTCACCCACAGGCCTTGCGCTTGGGTTCAGCTACCTGAGTAGCAGCTGCTCCGGGTGCTGGTGCTGAGGCAGGGGGAGCCTGGGCCAAGGGGAAGCTCCTCCTGGGTTCTCCCTCCCCAGGGAGGGCTTGCTGGACTTGCTGCTGCCCCTTTAGCTTTAGCTCTGCTTAGTCTAAAGTTGCAAGACATCCTTTTTGTACTACAAGGAAGATCAAGCAAAAAAAAAAAAACACCACGACAAAAGTCAGACTGCATCTAGGTGAGTATCTGAATGCAATATGGAGGGGAATAGAAACACAGAGGGACGTCCTCTGAAAAGAAGCCTTGGTTAGCTTATTTTTCTAAGCCTAAATAGAAGGAAAATAACGTTATCGGAAAGACTGAATCCTTGCTCTCCAGTGTTTTTTTGTAAGGTGGGAGCTGGGGAGTCAACGTGCTTCCTTTCAGTTCTAGTTTCTTTGAAAGTTTGTCCAATTAAATAGAAAAAGAGGAACGCTCATGCCAGACAAAATTAATCCATTTTCATTCAAAGCATGTTATAGCTATCCCTAGGAAGCATCACTAAGGGTGTAAGAGCATTTCACGAATAACTCAGCTTAGACTGTAAAGAAATATACATCACAAAAGCTTAAGTTTTGTAGCGCTTCAGAGCACTGACTTTTTTTTTTTTACTGATGCTCTGAAGAAAACTGACTTCCTTCATTATCTATCCTGTGATACCTGCTTGCCAGTTTTCTTGCATCATCCTCTAAAGCAGCTGGAGATTGGTCCAAAGAGGGCTACTAAATTGGACCAAAGAGGTCCAAAGAGGATGCAGATGGAAACATTTTTTTGGAGTTTTGCTCAGGGGGTGAGTACAAAAACATCTTCCATTGATATTTCCTGCAATTGTACACCTAAAAAGTCTAATACTGCATGTGGCGCATATGTGCCATTCCTAAAAACTGGCATCGTTACTTGAAAAAATATAACTTGTTGGACCTCACACAAAATAAGCTGATACCAAAAACAGTCATGTACCAATTCCAGAAGAGCTTAGCTTTTGCAGTGGTGTTTAAATGGTTGGTCAGATTTTCGAAAGTACTCAGAATGCCTCCTCTGAGAATAATGAGCTCCAAGCTTATGAATTTTTCTCAAATACATCTCTAAAGAGATAGGCATTTATTTTTTTCTAATACTGTTTCACGTAGCTTTATTACTTGCCATGTCTGTATAACTAAGATTTAAAGTCAGTTGCCTTGTGATACGATAAATAGGTGTTATGGACAAAAGAATCTTCTAACTTTTACTAACATAAAACTACTAATTTCCAGTGTATTAGAATACTGTCAGGTTATAGATGACAACAGCGAAGTGCTTCTGATGAATATATTTTTAAAACTGAATACTATTTGCATTGAAGTGGCACAAATGTGTTTTTATGGCAGGCAACAACAGTGTTCTAAAACATTTCATTTGATGTTGTAGACTTTTGTATTTCTGTGTGTTGCAGGTCTAACTGATATTTCCACTGAACGTGATTTTGAGAGAATTTATGGTGAAAATATGAATGAAGATCCAACTTACAATCCAAACAGTACAGAAGAAAAATTTCTTCACGCAATATGCTGATAATATAGTACTTAAGTTGACATTTAGTAGTAACATGAAATATGTTTATGTTTAGATACAGAAGCATATCAGAGATTGCAGCAAAGGTTAGCTTTTCACCAAAAGCTCCTGAAGAAACAGCAGTGTGGGGGGGGGGGGGGGAGATCACAATCCATAGGAATATAGAATACCTCAAGGTAATGAGCTTTTTGATTCCATTTGTACTGGGATTTAAAAAGATGGAAATCCCAAATTTAAGTAAACTTCAGCCATATTCAAGTAAGAACTGTAATTTCACAGATTTTTTTTTAATTCAAATTCTATGTTTTTATATAAAAATGCGAAGGAAAACTATTTGAATATGTTGAATACATAGGATGCAATTTGTATTCTAAATGTAGTAACTCCAAATACCTGAAATTGTGATAATTTATGTAAAAGTGAGAGTGGCCCAAGGGTAATTCCTTTGAAATAGCCATGCTGTACTAGTGATAAATTCATCCCAACATAGTTATTCCAAAATAATATTAATATGCTATTTCTACTGAAACAAATTAGTCTAATTTTCAATATTAAAATAAATTTATTTAGTGTTTTAAGCTATTGTCATGCTGCTACTTCCCCTTTTTTTAAAAAAAAAAAAACTTTTTATAGATAATGAGCTTATTAGAACTGAAAGAGAATTGCCACCATTTTCTCTTGGACAGCATGTCAGCATTTTCAGTATGCACAAAATGAGTATTTTCGTGCCCGTGGAGGGATTGAATTTGATGTTGGTACTCTCTCGATACAGGATATTTCAGGAGAGATCAAGGTTTTAGTTTGCTGTCTTTCATGTAGTGTGTGTGTGTGTGTATATGTCTTTACAGCTAATAAGGTATGAGAGAATATTTTACTCTGTTAAAATTACTATCAGAGACGAGGAGGAAAAAAATATTCTTGCTCCAGGTTTTTTGGTAATAAGAAATGTAGTAGAATCAAGCCAAAGGAATAAAGGCAAGGTTAAACGCTTCTGTTTAAACCAGCAGGACCAATAGAGAGGTCACAGTGGAAGAATTGTACCTCTCATAGGCAGTACACACTGTTCTATTGTGTAAAATAAGCAGTACTGTGCTTATTTCAGTAGGGTGAAGTTTTAACTGTGGATTTTGCTTTTTCTATTCAACATAGGATTTTGCCTTTAAAGCCTCTACCATGCCAAATATTGCCAGATGTTAGATAGCTGCTGTTTTTAAAATGCTTGTCCCGAGTTAATAGGTTTACTTAAATCATGTTAAATCGGAAATTCAGCTTCATTATCCAAGTAGTGTTTATAGACCAGGCTAATACAGAGTTCAGTACTCATTTCTCAAGCAAGTATGCTGTTAGAATATTTACTGCTAGTACTGAGCTGTACGTATTTGTTTAAGATATCTTAATCATAAGGTCAGCATTGCCCTAAAAGATACATAACCTTTAGGTAACAGACTCCTTGTTTTAATATATAATATATGGCATTTCTGGATGGCATAATGCCAGTTTGAAGAATCACCAAAGCAGATTCACCTGAGGAGGAATAAACTATTTCCAGAGGAATGCTTCTCATTAGATATGGATTTAATTTGCTGTCATGTGAAAACGATCTGTATGAAAATGCACAGCACTTTTAAATAGGAAGTGAAATCGGAACTGTACTTCAGCTTGCAAATTTGGTGAGCATTGATACGACTTATGAGGCTGCAATTCTAACAATCGTTTTATTAATGTAAACATTTCCTTATAGTCAGTTTAACGACTGTTTTCTCATAGGCTGCCTATGAGAAAATACAACATAGTATATCAAGCCATATGGCTCAATTGCTTGCCGTGGATATGCCATGTAGAGAACGTTATCCCATTCCAGTCATGGAACTTGATGGTAAGAGGTAAGGAATATACACAGTATTGTAGATAATATAATATAGTCTTTAAAATAATATAGATCCTTTTTGTTTTCAGATTGACTGTTACTTAACTGAAATTGCCCAGTATACTATGAAAGTTTAGCAGGAATAAAGATCTTTGTAGCTTAGTAGAGAATATGTAATTTGATCCAAGTTTGATTTTTTTTTTTTTTTTAACAGGTTAAACAGCTCTATCAAATGCTACTTAAAGCATTGCACATGCATCTAATTGGGTTGCTGGCTAAAGTCTGTGCAACCATTTGTTTTGTAAAACGTAGCTGCTATTCTGGAAATAATGAAAACCTAAAGTTCTGTAGAAACAAATAAAAACATTAAAATTATTCATTAAGATACATTAAAATACATTTAAAATATAAGATTCTTCAATATTTTTTTTCAATTATTCAAATCCAAGCACTTGAAAGTATTCTTAAATATCAGTTTTATGGTGCTGTTGTAAGCCTGCAAACAAGCAGAAGCTGTGGTTGTGTTTTTCCTCTTATCTTCAAATTTCACAATGCTGAAATGTCCAATAGGAGGCCATGGTTCTATCATTTCATATAAAGAAAAGTGGTCGTCTTGATGAAGGTGTATTAAATTCCAAGTAAGTACTTAACAATTATGCTAACTAATCTAAAACTATTATTCAAACGTATTTCATAAACAGAATTTCAAGATGAAAATATTTTTAGGTTCAAAATCTTACCAATTGTTTGACTATTATAGCTACTGAAAATACTTTAACTTTAAAAAACACAAAATGACTTCTGAGGTCATATAAGCTAGTTACATTCTACTGGATTCAGTAATACCCTGAAGGTTAGCTAGGAGGAGGACAAGACATCTATATTTAATTCATACATTGTAACAGGGTGGGGCTGCAAGGGATCTCTAGAGGTCGTGTAGTTTATGACCTTGTTCTGAGTGAAGTATATGTAGACCATTCCTAACAGGTATTTTATTTCATAACATTCAGTGGTTGAAGATTCCCTTTCTATAGGTAGTGTGCTCCCATATTTCCTGTCCTTAAAATGGAAAGCTTTTCATAACATTTATTCAAGCTGCCTTTCCTGCAAATTTAGCTGATACTTTTAATTCTTCCTGCAATGAAGAGCAACTAAACACTGTTCTCTTTCTAACATTTTTACAGGCTGGGAGTCCATTACTATACCATCTTCATTCTTTTTTTTTTTTCCAGCTTCTTTCAGGGTAAAAATAAAAAAAAAAAAAAAAAGAATCTCTCATGTTTCTTGTTTCCTCTGTATATTATTATCATAGTTCACCAATAAGCCATCAATAACTACTCCTTGAGCATAAATTTTTCAATCAGCTGTGTGTGCAATCTGCTTTACTATGCTTTACTGAAATAGAGCATATTTCCTCAGTTTGCTAATAGGTCATGTGGGATGTTGTAAAAAGTTTTACCAAAATGAGTGCATGTCATACATGTTTCTGTCCTATCTACATAAACTGCTGTCCTGAGAAAAGAATATAAACCAAAGTTGTTATGGAGAGCTTTTAAATATGTTTCTTTCTAACTTCTGGGTTTTTGTTTAATTACAGCTACTACGTGATCTGTATTAAATTTGAAGCAGCAGCTATATAAGACACGTTGGTGGGTAGCTGTAAGTGAAAGAATAAGTACTCTTAAGCCTAAGAGTTGCTTTTACTGATTTACAGACTCTTGAGCAATTCAAAAACAGATTTAGTTAGAAGGAAGCTATTAAATGTAAGGTACATAATGAAAATACTTTTCTCTTAAAGTGCATCTGCATTCAAGAAATATACTCTATCATAATGTTTAGATTTGTATTTATTCAATCTACATTGAACTTTTTGTTTCCATGCCTGTGGATTCCACCTGAGATCAGTAAATGGGATTGTACTCTCCAGGCTTCTGCATCGTCACTGCTACTAATGGCTCTGTAGCCTTTATCCTACCCTCGTTAACATCTTCAAACCCTCTTGTTTTTGCATTTCTCATTCAGTTGCGCATGGACAATGTGCCATTGTCTTTGATATTATGATATAAAGCTAATGAAGGGTAAAAAACTGCCAATTTGTCCTTTAGCACATCACACTATATGGATGATGTGAGCCACAGTAGAAGCCAGTTCACTTGGCTAGTGTACATCTGTTGTTTGCTTCACTTCTGATATAAGTAAACTGTAATAAAATGATGTTTAGTCTCTGTGGCACATAAGTACAACTTGTAAACCTCAGGGACAAATCTGTTGAGATAGCATAACAACATTTTTGCACAATCATTGTCAGAGACTGATCTTTAGCTGGTATAAATTTGACAGATTCATAGCCCTATTATACAAACTTACGTCAATTGAAAATTTCACCATCTAGGAAGATCTAAAATTAACATGAATGTGTTAACTTCAGGTCTTTATCTTTTTCCAAAGTGTAAATTATAATTTTCTTCTAAGATATTAATACTTTTATTTTCCATAAATTTTAGAGCTTGCCATATGGTATGAAATCAGCTGCCAAGAGAGGGGGACTAGTTGCCATCTTCCCTACGTTTGTCATAAAGCATCTACCTCCAGTTTCAGTGTTATTGATGAATCTGGTTTTGCCCTTCTTCACCATGCTGCCATGTACAACCATGTTCCAATTATATATCAGCTGATTAAATCCCCTGTGGTATCAATCAGAGATGCATTGTTCATGTTAACCTGGGTGCGTGTTGGGAGAACAATGACTTTTGGATCCCTTGTTCTCTTTCACTCCTATTAGAAGAGGAGTTTTGTGAAAAAAGAGTATTAGCGCAGAGAAATGCGCTCTTTTTCTAAACCTTGTGAAAACTTCACAGAAGAAACTTCATGGGAATTTAGGTCTCTAATGTGAGAAATGGACCTGAACAAGTCACTTTATAGCTCATTCTCTTCTCTTCAAAACTTTAAACTTTTTAAACTACTCTAGGTTGAATACACAATTGTGCACTGGTCTGTCCTTTATGGGCTGTAAGATTTGGAAGTTCAAAGAATTACTGTAATTGCATTATTCCTTTTGACAAGGAGTGAGCTATGCCAGGTTGCAGAAGAGATTAAAAAATTGTTTCACATGACTGTCCTTGTCTGTAAAAGACCTTGGAGAAAAACAAAATTAAAAAATTGAACTTCCATAGGTTGTAAGCCCGGTAGGATGGTGAAATCTGCTTTTTTTTTTTTTCCTTTTTTTTCCCCCCCCTAAGAATGCCATCCATTCACTCCTGCAGTGGACTTTTTTCTTTTTTTTTCCTTCTTCACAGGTGAAGTACCAGTGAAAAGTAACCATGGTTTAGGAACCATAACTAAATGATAAGACTTGTTGAGGAAGGTCTCTGATACAGATTTTAAAACTCTTAGGCAATTTGAGTTTACCATTGTCCTTTCTAACTGTTTTGATAGTAGGACTGGATCCCTACCATCTTCTGTAGTGGAAAGAGAAATGGGAACAAATTCCTGTGCACTAATTGGTCTATTTAAACAGAAATATGCTGTTCTTACCACCTTCTTTTGTCTTTCTGTAAACTTAAAGCATTTTCTTTAGTTGGATTAGCTATATAGAAGGAGGAAAAATATGTTCTGTTCTTTGCAAATATATAAAGTTATTCACAGACTTCAGCCTCCTTTTATAGTGGTCTTGATTATTTGTTAAGTTATGTCTGTTTATATTATTCCTTATAGGACCTTTTCCTTCATACATCTGGAAGTATACATTTACCTACATTTTTTTCTTCTCATATATATATCTATAAATATTTAGTGATGCATGCAATATTTTTGTGTGTAAAAGTAGAATATATGATGACACTATAAAACTGATATTTTTATTACAGGTAAGCACTCACCAAAAAGTAAGGCAGAAAAAGCACATAACTATAGTTATGTGCTTTATCAATCTTATTTTTACTAACTTTTGTTGAATATATTAGCCTTAGCTTTCAAAATACATATATCTTTTAATAAACATAAATGAATAAATTGCTAAATGAATAACGTATGGGAAGCAGTAAAATTCACCACAAGAGAGGAGAGAGTCAGTTTTTAAAATGAAAATTAGTCTTGTCCCTTCTCAGTCTTCACAGAAAATAACTTATCTTAGAATGATAAATGTTGACTGGGTACTTCCAAGATTTTTAGTGTTTTTAAAAAAAAAAAAAAAGGCATGGAAAAATGAACAGCATTGTATTAGAGTTTTGTTTAACAGTAGCTCTGAGTCTGCAGTAGGAAACACCACTTGCTGTCTGTGATAAACTAGTTCATATATGTATGAATATATTTCTTACCTTATTGGTTTATTGTCTGCTTATTTAGAGATACATGAAGACCATTAGTTTCCTGAACAGCTTGATAGTTTATATCTTTGTATTTAGAAAAAAGTATGTATTTTAAATTCTAGAGCTAGTATATTTAATGTGATTTTTTTTAATGTGATTTTTTTTTTCCTAACTCATTTCAAACTGCTCACTGTACCTACATGCTCTTTACACTTTTCAGAGAGAATTCTTGATGCCAGTGGTCTTGGCTAGTTGTGACACTGTCGTTTTAGAAGGTGATCCTCTCCTTTCTGAGTTTCATTTCTAAGGGGAAGTGGAGGTGGAATAGAATTTTATCCCATCATAAATGAGGATATTTCATTTCACAGCTGGATTAATTCCATACTTCTGGAACTTAATGCTTAGCAGTAGCTGCTGTTCATCCATACAGTTGGCACTGCCAGGTTTTCCAAGTGATGGTATTGTTTTTGATTGTTTATTACGTTTATCTTCAGGGAAAAAAAAAAAAAAGCGTGCAGACTTATCGAAAGTCTGGTGAGTTACCTATTACCCATGCTGTGTTGGGGGAACACGGTACTGTACACTAAAGGAGAAAGGAAATACAGTATTCATATTTAAAGCAAGAAGATTTTAATCCAAGGTTTTGAAAGCTGTAAAAAAAAAAAAAAAAAAAAAAAGCTTCCAAAATATACATCATGTAGCATGGAAGGCAGGGTATTTTAGTTTTGTATGTTGAAAAGAGTAGAATGTAATTGTGCTACCACTGAACTAACAGCTTTTATTGGGTGTTTACAAAAGCTGTTTTGGCAAATACAATGAAAATAACCTTACACACAAACATTTTGATTCATTTACTTATTTAGGTCAGCATGTGAGATTTTTCTTGTATATGTAAGTTCTAGGCCCTGCTGCCTTACACTTAGCAGCTCAGTGTGGATCCACAGAGGTGCTTAACTGTCTCCTTGCCATGAAGGTAGATTATGAAGTATCGGATGATCAAGAATGACTGGTGGTCCATTATGCTGCATTCTGTGATAACATTGCTTGCATCCACCAGTGCTAGCCACAAGTAAAAGTCAGCTGCCTTGAAGGACAAAGTTTTATCATCTCTTATTCGTTAGGCTGTACAACTTAAATATGAAAATATGAATTATTGTGATTTTATATTTTTGATACATCTATGGACTGGATGAGTGAAGGCATATTATAAGGATTAGCAATTGTGCCTTTTTCTACCATTAGTTATGGTGACTAGTGTGTCATAGGCACATCCAAGCAGTTTGGTTGTGGGCTGTTTTCAGGGAACAAAAGAGAACAAGATGCAGAGCTTGTCATGTGCAAGTCTGCTCAGTGACCGTTCTTTCAGTGTGGAACATGGATTATTTGTCCATATAAAAGTAAAATAACTTATTTGAAAGTGTTGATGTCCTTTAAGCTGTAGAATTAAAATGCATTTTGAACAATAATCAAAGGGGAAGAGATAGAGTTAGGGTCCTGCTGATGTGCTGAGATTTGTTCTTGGCCTCATGATAGTGCGCAGCTGTATTATCTATGAGCAACAGAAATTGAAAGAAATTGAAACCTTCATTGAAGGTGACAGAAAATCAAACGTTGACAACCTAATTTGAAGTCTCCTTGTTAGCGGCTGTTCAGCCTAATGCAAATGAGCAACTAAAAACTGAACAAACAAAATTCCTAAAATAAGGTAAATGATGATGAATATATCAGAATAGAAAGCTTCCCTATTTGCACCTTTTTGAATTTCATTTAAAAGTACCATTTTAATTCAGTGAAATACTTTTTTGAGTAAACATGTCTTAAATAATAAAATTTGATACAGAAAAAATTGTGTATTTATATTAAATGTCTTCATTTATTTCCACTTCAAGACTACTGTCCTCTAAAATACTGCTTACATTCTCCAGCATTTCTTTATTCTACTATATCGAGGCTGTGATGTGCTACCATTTAAGAATGTTTTTGAATTTTTGTCTGTGAGTAATCCCATGCAGTGCAATAAAGATATTCCAGTGACTGTTACATGCTTTCAGGATTGGTATCTTCTAGTATTAATCAAAGATATATCTTTAAGACAAGACAATTTGACAAAGGAAAATGTAGTGTCTTGGAGAAATGCATGCTCTTTTTGAAAGCAGCATATGTTCCACATAATTGTGATCCTTTTGACTTGACTTTGCAGATAATCAAACCCTTTGTTCTGTTTGAAACTGAAATTATCACCCTATGAAGTCACTGGTATGTCTTACCACTCTTTCTAGCCTCTGATTCTTGTGAGGAGGGCCTTCATACAGGAGGTATGTGGTTTTTTTTAATGTATAGTAAGTGTAAACAGTTGAGACATTTTGTGTAAATTTACATTAATTAGAAAATGATTTTTTATTTTTTTTATTTTGCTTTGATACCTAAAACCTATGCATTTGTGGAATAGCACCTTGAAACATTTTGGTGATGTTACACAGTCTTTATTTCTACGACGGGTGATTTTTTTTCAGCAACTGTAAACAAAGTATTGATAGTAAATGTAACAGCATTGAAACAGTTCTTACTGAAGAACTTGTAGTTGGATTTACTTTAGTTACTTAACTTGATGCCAACCATCAAAACTTCATTTTTAGTCTTGGCACCTTGATGGAGTCTTCTTCAACCCTTTTTGAGATATCACAGCCAAGGGGAGCGCTAGAAAATAATAATACTTGTTACTGATTTTTAACAAATGTCATTTTTGCTGCAGTAAGATGACAGCTCAGGAAACACAGCAGTGCCTTCAAAGTTCTCTTTTTGGAAAGTTATTTTATTTAGATTCCAATATTATCTGGTAATTCATCTTGCATCTCACTGATGAATGCAAGACACAGTAGAGGTTCATTGGTATGTTTTTTGTGATAATCCTAAAGGAGGTATAGCCTACAGCAAAGAAAACTTCAAGATTTTATTCATTAAGACAGAAAAAGCAAGTTCCTTTTGAAGAATAGTTCTTTATCATTTTTATGTGCAAATTTATAAAACAAAATTCTTGTGCTGAGACCTTCAAGTGTGGCAGTGAAAAGGGAAAAACTGAAAAACTATTTCATAAGTTTAAGTCCCAGCTGGCGCTTTTGAAATACTAAAAATTCAAAATACTACCTATAGTTTTTTTTTAATAGATTTTAAGTAGATTCTGGGGCTTTAGGATTGAATAAAAAGACATATATAAGATCACTGCTGGTCTACAAAACATAATAAATGCAATCAACATTATGAGCTGTTGTATGTCAAAAATACGTATTTTTATTTAAAACTGGTGATTATGACTATGCACTTCGGCTTGCAGCATTTAGATTTATTCTGGTAAGAGTCTCTGAGGAGCTAGGGAGTGTATGCTGCTTATTTCTGTTTTTCCATGTTAAAATGGTAACAGTGAAATGCATCAAATCTTATAAAATAATTAAGATTTCTGAGCCAAAACAAAAAGGTAAACCTGAAGCATGATGATTTGTATTTCACAGCTACATACAAAAGGAAGTGCTTGTAACTTTGAAGCTCATATGCAATGCAAAGACATTCCATGTCGGCTTCTGCTAGTCGTCTTAGTCTATATCTCCTTCCATTTTCACTGACTACCAAAAGTGAAGAAATGGACTGTAAACAAGTTTAGTCACTTACTTTGGTTCATAGCGGATGCCATCAGTACAATGTAAAACACCAAGTCCTGCACGTAACCTTTCAATGCCATTCCTGAAGCAAGAAAGCAATTATATAAAAATGCACATCACAAATTATTTGAATATGTATACGTGGTTCAGTCATAATAAAAAGATTCTTCACTCTGATGTTAATTTTAAAGAACACTATAGAAACACACACAAAGGAAAAACAATCCTTACCATGCAATCATAACACCATTGTCAGTGCACAGTCTTGGAGGAGGACACAGAAAAGCAAAACCATTTGCATCTGCCAAAATCTGCAGACCTTTTCGGATATACTGATTACTTGCAACTCCTCCTGATACGACCTGACACCAGTTTTAAAAACAAGCAAAGAAAGAAGGCTTTTAGTATAGTAGCAGACCACACTCAACTACCATCCTATTAAAAAAGGATATCGGATCAAAGTTCTGAGGACAGCAATAAATAACAAGTTTGAAGATTATAACATACCAGAGAAGAATCTGAGAAGTGAGCATATTATGCTACAATATTCCTGAATAAAAGCATGCTATAAATAGAACAGCTGTAAAGCACTGGGCAGCACTAGATCAAGTTATGTGGCCTAAGTCATTATAAAAGGTTAGATTGAAAATCTATTTCTAACTTAAGACCAAATTATGAAAGACTTCATTTTAAGTATTTACAGGACCATTGTTTTGATTCCAAATCTTAACTGAATGTAAAATAGGTTATTGATATCTTCCTCACCTGTAAATCCCTTATGCAATAGCTGTTAGAAGTGTTATTTCTCTACTTTTGCCTCAACTGCTTTACAGTGTGCTGTGTTCATTGAAACAAGTAGGGCATTCCATTCCCGAAGGAGCTGTACTGTGGTAGAAGGTGATGCTGCTAGTCCTACCTGTAATTTGCATAGCACACTAAATTTTATAGTGCTTTGAAGTCCTTGGCAATAAAAAGTCTGTACATAAGAACATGCCATATATCTAAATACAACCTACACAGCTGTAGGCTTTAAATAACAACAAAAAAAAACCTTAAAGTAATGCTAAAATTACTTTAACAACACACCATCGTGCACAAACACTCATGCACAACTCTTGAATTCAGTAACTACACTTAAGGTACAGTTAAATACACTGTTTTCATTTATTTTGAAATAGCTCTGTTAAGGGAGAAAGTACCAAAAGGCATCTGTACCTTCAAGTGCTGTTATTCAGTCAAATATAAAATGGAACATTGCCTTCACGCACACAAGATTAAAATAAGGTATACCCACCAAAGTTGCATTTTTTGGTGATAATATGCTATGTTTTATGCAGAACAGCATGGCTCGATACGTCCGCTTGACAATATGAACAGCCACTGCGTGCTGTGCGGCAGCAGCAATATCCTTAACGCAAGACAGTAGCTCTCCTTCCTGAAGACCTGTAAAAACATATGACTAATTGGTTTCCCTGAGTATAGCTTATCAAGTGTATAGTTTGTATCTGACTTTGTTTACAAATACCTTCTTCTTTTTCTTTTTGTATAATTACTTTATTGACAAGGTTCTGAAGTCCAGAAAAAGAAAAATCACAGTTACGATACTGTTGCATGGGAACTCTGAATGTGTAATGCTGGCGGTTTCCAGTTTGAGCCAAGTGCTCTATAGCCTTTCCCCCAGCCATGCTGTGGCACTCTGGGTGTTTGCTTAAGGAGAGTCTTCTTGCTACCTGAGGAGGAAATAATAAACAACAGATTCAGAATGAAGAGCCAAGTAATTCTTCCTGTAACTGCATCACTGTATTGAAGTCAGTGGAGTTCAGTTAGAGACACACCACAAAATCCAACATTCCTAACATGAAAGCATGAATGGGACGCAGTAAGGGCAAGACTTTGTGGGATGGTAATGTAGGGGATTGTTTTGCTAGCGTAACTAGAAATGCAATTCTAGAATAACTTAGGCAAATGTGAGGGTCGGCAAATTTTGCAAGAAACATAATTTGCCTAGTTTTTGTGCTGTGGGAAATAGATGTGGGCAGCCTTATTGTATTATCAGGTAAGTAAAAATAAAGTTGATTTTATAACAATCCTCTTTTCTGCTCCACCTCCCCCCCCCCCTTTTTAATACACACACGTTTGAAAATAATTGGAAGTGGCCAATTTTACAGATCGCGCTCAATAACCCAGATAACTTGGATTCTGAAAGCCAAACCAACATTTTCAAACTACCAATAAAACTTTACATTGTCCAATTTAGTTTTAAATATTATTGATCTTCTCATGTTAGTACTACTCATTTCATGTCATTGGACCTTCCAACACCAATTTTGGTTGTCTAATTTGTCTATTTGTTAACATATAATTAATCTAATAGGTATAATTTATTACTGATGCTCTAAAATGCACAGATTTTTAACAGCCTCTTGGCTCTTAAATCTGCGATATTTCAATACAAGCAAAAAGCATTAAATAAAGCTGTTATTGCTTTTTATTACTGTCTTCAGGCTGACATTACCACTACTGCTTTGTAGTATAATTACAGCAACAAAAAAAGATTGGTGTATGCATAGAAATATTACCTTGTCCAACATGTCACCTGGTGCTATGTCTATTGACTGTCCAAGCAGAAGGAAATCCGAAACTCCTTGTGCCACTGCCAAAATACAGTGGCCTCCAGACAGTAAAAGAACTAAGAAAGGAAATTCCACTTGATTTGTCAGTCTAATGGTAAGTGCATGAGCCTCCATGTGATGAATGGGTATGAAAGGCTTCTTATACTTGTTCACCAATTTTAAGCTGTATTCGAGTCCCACTCCAAGGCTTAATGCAAGTCCTGGCTTTACTGTAGTTGCAATAGCGGCAAGTTCATTTACAGAAACTCCACTGATGCTAAGCGCTTCTTTCACTATTTGCTCAATGTTTTCTCTGTGAAGTTGCTGTGCCACCAGAGGAATTATCCCACCTGCTCTAGTTAAAGAATTATAATACATTTGTATTTCATAACAGACAGAATCACAGAAAAAGCACATTTAAAACATCTCTTGACACATCTTGCCTGTTTCCTTAGTACATTCTCAAATGCTTTGTTTAACGTAGAGAACACCTATGTACTGAAGAAATCATCATTTTCACTCAGAGGCCAGAAAAGCATTCTACTTGCTCCAGTTTGAAATATATTCCTCTTAAATGTAGCCAAATATTGTAGCAAAGCAATTTCTGTAACTGAATATTCAAAATCACTGACTCCTAACTGTTAGTTCAGGTATTCAGCTACCAGTGCCTATTTTCATTAATTTTCTCTTATAACATTGGACATACTTAATGGCTATAACTAATAATAATTTGATATGTAATTAAGCTAAATAATCAAGTTAAATAATCTGTCTCTTTTTGGGAAAAAAAAAAAAAACAAACACTGGAGGAAACTCCTTAAATTCACAGCATTTCTTACCCTCACTCTTACTAGTATCATAAGAAAAATGTGTTGTAGCCAAAAAGATAGGTCTTTATACCCACACACTTCAAGTATGCCGGAGAATAGTTTTGTATTGACAATGTTACAAGTAACAATAAAATCATTAGTAAGCATACGTAACCACAATTGCAGTTACATAATAAATCACTGAGAGCAGTATGTTCTTACTTCAAATGGACTTCCTTTTGACAGTGTAGTGCTTCTCCTAGGATATTGCCAGCATCATCTACCACAGCAGCACCAGTATCATCACAGCTTGTTTCTATTCCCAGAACTAGTTTCGGAAGACACAGTTTTCCAGAGCGAGTAGAGTTGCTTCTTAGCCATGCAGCTTGGCCAGGTTTAATTGATTGCAAAAGGCTTTTGGTAATGCTGTTCATTGTTAAAAATTTGTCTTGTAGTTACATCTAGAAAGGAGCTGTACAGAGACCATCTCTTCAGAATTCAAGTTTTAGAAAAGTCTTCTTATCAAGGCTAGTAACTAGCAACTACTGAGGTAACAGCAGTATTCATCCAGATTGTAATTAACCAAAGATCAATGTAATCCCTTACTTTAAAGGTGGTTTACATACTATTTATTTGTTATATCCAGCAGCACAAAGGTAATAAAATACCCCAACTGTACTTTGCCGGCTGCTAGGCTCTCCAGTCTTCTCTCACCCGGACCACTACTTCAGGAAGTGTCTAACCATGCCTAACCGTGGAGCAGGAGACACCTATGGGTCAAGTGCCAAAGAGGGAGGACATTTGAAACCTCCTTCTTTCTCCGAGTTTTCTTGTGCCTACTCACTTAAGGCCTTATTTTCAAGCATGTCTCTTTCAGATAGATGAAAAACAATGAATTTGGCAATTTTTAGGTAAAATGTACTGGTAAAGTGTGTTTAATTCTCTAGAACTCAGTATTTTTAAACCTACATTTCTCTGAAGGGGTGCTTTCACTTTTAAAAGCACGAACTACTACACATGATTTATAAGACCACAGGAAAAGAAAACACGTCGTCTTAACAAGAGCTGGGAGCCGCTCTTTTGTTTCTCCTTAATCGCGCTCCAAAACTCGTTTCTCCCCTCTCGCTTGCTACCACGCTCCCTGCTCTCCTGAAGGGAGGGACCACACCGCAGGCCACCTCCGACTCGCGGCAGGACTGAACCTCTGGCTGGTTTTACCGCC